TTTGAACAAATGTAGCATCAGGCTGCAACATAACAAAATTGAAAAAAGTGAATAGGGTCTGAATACTTTATGAATGCACCGTATATGATAAACATAAAGGTGCTGTTTCTTGTAAGATTTTGAAGTTTTTATGTAACTAGATACCCCTATCTGAAGCCCTCTCCATATCTCATGCTTGTTTCACTGGTGCTAGGGAAGCTGTTTTAGCCGAACATTGAACTGTTATTACAACAGCTGAGCCATCAATATTTCCATTAAAGCGGCATGTTGTCATCAACTTTCATAGAGTTTATATCATTAGTGGGGTCTATCAAACACATTTCATTTTGTTTAACCAATTGCTGCCTGGTCTATAGCCGTTTGGCGGCCGCAAAAATGCATTACCTTTCCGGGGTGTACGCCATTTGGTGTCCTCCCGCACATGCGCAGCGGCACGATCTGTCACCAGCCGTATACCTTGGACACGGCCGATGACAGATCTGAGTAGTACCGGCCAATCACAGCAAGTCACATGACAGTTGTATACAATGGATGGCTTCATTCATGCCATCCATTGTATACTAGTGTCTAGCTGTGAATGGTCACAGCAGTTGCATGCACATGTCATGTGAGTAGCTGTGGCCAAATCACAGCTAAGCACAAAAAAAAAAAAAACCTGAATGAGTCGATGTCATTCAGGTAAATGCTTGCTTATAGCAAAATAATTCTTTGCTATAAGCAAATTGTGTAAAAAAAAAAAAAAAAAAAAAAAATACTGATCGCTTTCCCAAAGTAGTACAATGTTACTATGGTAACATTGTACTACTTTGGTCATAGTATAATATGAAAAAAAAAATGTAATAAAAAAAAAATATATTTTTTTTTTTTCATACTGTCACCAGTCAGTGTCCTGATCACCGCCATGCCAGTTATATGATGATGCTGTACTGCACTGGTGACAGTATGTAAAAAAAAAAAAAAATAGTGAAAATAATTTTTTTCATTTTTTTCATTTTCTGAAAAATTATGACAAAAGAAATACAACTTCAAAAATCTCGCCATGCCTCTTATGAAGTACGTCGGACTGTCTACTTTGCAAAAAGGGGTCATTTGGGGGATATCTGTACTGTTCTGACATTCTTGGACCTCAAGAAATTAGATTGGCTGTCAGTACTTCAGGATTGATCAATATTCAGATCTATACCATAGTTTGTGAACTCTATAACTTTCCTACAAACTAAATAATACATCCTAATTTGGGTTATTTTCACCAAAGACATGTAGCAGAATACATCTCGGCCTAAATTTATGAAGAACAATTATTTATTTGTAAACTTTTATAACAGAAACGTGTTTTTTTTTTTTTTTTTTTGCAAAATGTTTGGTCTTTTTTTGTTAATTTAGCAAAAAATAAAAAACCCTGGCGGTGATTAAATACCACCAAAAAAAAAGCTCTAGTTGTGTGAAGAAAATGATAAAATTTTAGTTTGGGTACAATGTTGTATGACCGCGCAATTGTCATTCAAAGTATGAGAGTGCTGAAACCTGAAAAATGGCCTGGGCAGGAAGGGGGAAAATTGCCCGGTATTGAATTGGTTAATAGCCGGTTGGATTGTGAACCCTTGTGTTATATCTGTAAAGAGAGATAGAGAGAGAGAGAGAGATATATAGATATATATATATAATTCTATATCTTATCTGTTTACCCAATATGGACTAGAGCAATTTTTCAATTGCTGCCATGGGCCTGTCCGGCTATAGCTGTACCATTAAAATAAAAACGTAATGCAGATACTTTTTATTTTTTTTTAAGACAAACAAGGCTTTCTCTTCATGAATATTGTCTTGCAACAATGAGTTGTTTGTTTTTTCACAATCCTTAAACAATTAAATGTAACAATGCACTTTTTTTTTTTTTTTTTTTTTTTTTTTGTGCATAGTCAAATATTTAAAAATAAAGTGTTACTGACCATAAATTGCAAATTTTTTTGGTAATTTGTCCTTTTTTTAAATGACACTAAATCTATGATTCTGGTTAGAGATGAGCGAATCGAACATGACGAAGTGGAATTAGTTCCGAAGATTTGGAAAAATTATATTCGCGACGAATCCGAAGATTAGCAAACTTCGGATGCACGAATCGAATTTTCCCAAAAATGGCGGCGACATGTGTGGCGACGGAGAAAATGGATAGAGAAGATGGGGCGGGGATCTCTGGGAAGGCGCGCAGACAAGGCGCGCTGACCCATAATGCATTCATGACATGATCGCATTAGCCAATCAGCAGCCAGCCAGCACTGTGTAATGGTGGAGCTATAAATCGCAGCCATCTTAGAATTTTCCATTAGCCTCCGGTCATTCAAGAGAGACAGACCTGTGTGTATTAAGGGACAGAGTTAGGGCCACAGAGATTTTAGGGCCACAGAATCGTTTACTCAGGGCCACAGAATCGTTACTCAGGGCCACAGAATCGTTACTCGGGGACACAGAATCGTTACTCGGGGCCACAGAATCGTTACTCAGGGCCACAGCTATCAAAGAATCGAAAATTTAAAGTGACATACACCCTTTTTTTTTTTTGGGTGGCTGTCGTGCACAGTTGGTGCTGCAGTTTGCCGATTGTGCAAAATAAACTGACTTTCTGCTTCACAACCACTATTGTACGTTCAAAGAGTTAAATCCATTTACACGCCGGCTGGCGGTAATATTTTTTGGGTGATTAGTGCATTCCAGTGACATAAACGTACAGTTTCCAGCCAACGGCAAGCTGCAATTGACCGATTTGTGCTAAATAAAACTGACTTTCTGCTTCACAACCACTATTGTACGTTCAAAGAGTTAAATCCAGTTTTATTTTTGGGGTGCTTATTGAATTAAAGAGTATGTCAGACAACACGCAGAGGAGTGGCAGAGGAGGCAATGTTTCAGGAGCAAGCAGACGTGGCAGCAGAGGAAGGGGTCGAGGCAGCACTAGTCGCAGCCAGAGGCCAGTGCTCCCCGGTGTCATCCAGCGGTCGTGTCTCCACCGACAACCCTGCCGTCATCGATTGGTTGGCTCGGTCGTCTTCCTCTTCCCAGGTCACCTCTGACACCTACAGCCAACGGTCGGTGGGTACGTCAGACACAACCGTTAGTTGGCATGGCCCGGGACCAAGCCCACTGAAATCACGTGTCCTCGACCTGCCCCTGTCCTTTGGTGTTCCCTCACCAAGCGAAGTATCGCATGCTGTGGGCTCAGCCCCACTGTACAGTGAGGAAGAGCTAAACAGAGGGCGGTCAGGAACGGGGGGAGACATCCGCCTCTTCAGCAGCCAGGCGAAGAAGAAGTACTGGCGAGGAGAGTGGCTCGGTAGCCGGTCTAGAGACAGGTCTGTCTCCTGACCCACACGCAGCCGAGGGGGCTAGTAGTGACGCGGAGACCCTAATTGATGATGATGAGGCTGATCGCACTTGGCAGCCTCGTCGTCATCAGGCTATTGCTTCCGCATCATCAGGAGAAGAGGGTGCCAGCTTGCCAGCGAGCAAAACAGTCGGTGGGTTGCCCAGGAGGCAGCAGGGTCGCAGCAGTGTCAGTGGAGCCAAACGGCCACGGAGTAGAGCACCAGCTCCACTGCAGCCTACCACCACGGCCAGTAGTGGTGCCGGTGTGCACGGAGGAAGTAGCAGTCAGCCAGTGAGGAGTAGCGGGGGTAAAGTTTCCTACTCGGCGGTGTGGCAATTTTTCGTCAAGCCGCCCGAGGAAGTAAACGTAGCCGTATGTCGACTATGTGGCCAGAAAGTCAAGCGTGGCCAGGGGGCCAATGTTGGGACTACAGCGTTGCGTCAGCATATGCAGCGTCGCCATTCGGTGGCCTGGGAAAACCGTGATAAAGATACGGCGGTTCTGCCTGCCCCAGCCCCCGCTCCATCACCCGCTCCGTTACTTGCTCCGTCACCCGACGTCAATCGCCCTCTATCAGCCAGTCAAGGCTCCAACACCTCTGCTGAGGGGAGTTGTCGCTCGTTGGCATCTTCCGCTCGTTCAGATGCTCCTTCTCCTGCTACTCCTCTTCACGGATTCCGTCAGCAGTCTTTCTTGGAATCGTTTCCAAGAGACAACAGTTTGCGAGCACGCACCCGACGGTGCAGAAGCTGAACGTCCCTCTTCCAAGTTGCTGGTGCTGCAGTCCCTCCCTTTCCAAGTGGTGGACTCAGCACCTTTCCGAGAAATGATGGCTTGTGCCGAGCCGCGGTGGAGAGTGCCAAGCCGGCATTTCTTCGCCAAAAAGGCAGTGCCAGCCCTGCATTCACATGTAGAAGAGATGGTGGGCCAGTCTTTGAGCATGTCGGTCTCTGCCACAAAAAATATATTTAGTAATAACCTAGCCGTTCAGGCCGCTCCTGAACACCTCGGAATTGCTTTGTATATCTGTCGCCTTAGAGGCCGCTGTCTGAACAGCTCATGAATTGCTTTCTATATGTGTCGCCTTTGAGGCCGCTGGCTGGACAGCTGATGAATTGATTTGTATATATGTAAAGATTGTCCGCTGTCCGGACAGCTCATGAATTACTTTTTGTATATAGCCTTCCAAACCACTCTCAGAATAAGTCATGATATTCATGCTGTGTATAGCCTTATAGGCCAATGGTCAATCAAGTCATGATTGTTATAGTGTGTGTTAGCCTTATAGGCCGCTGTCTTTACAACTTTATAATTCCATGCAGTATATAGCTCTATCGGCCACTTTCTGGCATCCAGTTGCTGTAGCCCCCATCACCACACTGTGCCACGGGCCCCTGTACCGCCTTCTCATACTGCTGCCAGATCCATCCTCTGCCATGTGCGTCTTTGTCGTCTGCTCACGCTGCTGGGTTCCAGTTTTAAACCTAGGCCTGTGTATGGCTTCCGAATACTGCTGCCTCCACCGCCACCCTGCGCCATGTGCCTCTGTCGTCTGCTCACGCTGCTGACGGCTTCCGCTTTTTAAACTAGTCCTGTGTATGTCTTCCGAATACTGCTGCCTCCACCGCCACCCTGCGCCATGTGCCACTTTCGGGTCTCCTCACACTGCTGCCAGGTCCATACTGATTCATGGCCCCCTGTACCGGCTCCTCATGAACGTGGTTCAGCGGGTTGCATCACTTAACGGCAAATCGTTGACAAATGCTGGGACGTTCAGTGTTGTGCGCCTTAAGCCAGACACCAAAGGGCAGCACAGACCTGTTATTACTCGCTCAAGCATGGCTGAACAAAACCGGTTTCTACCACAAATTGGACCCAGACCTGCCCAGGGTCTCGTAACTAGATTGCACGTCGGAGTAGAGTCCGTTATCGGAATTAAATAGACAAAACGCCACACCAAAAAGAGTGGCCATTTCCAACACTTATTCCAGAAAGAGGAAACAACCCGTTTCATATACGGCCCGTAGACGTTTCACGTCTGCCACATTCAGTCGATTTAAGACGCAAGCTCCACTTCCTGTGGTCTCTGACCGTCGATATACCTTTAAGTGTCAGATTTGAAGCTATATTCCCTCCGGAGCACTGACACTGGTGCCCTTCCGTCAACATGCCTTTAAGTTTCAGTTTTCAACCATATTCCCCACAGAAGCCAAACTCTTGGGTATCCCAGAAGCTGCTCAGCGGGTCAGGGCAATAAAGCTCCCGGTTCGCAGGTTGTTCCGTCTTATGGATGGAAGTACGACGGTATATGATCTTCTTCGCACCCACGGCATTACTTCGTAGAATTTCTGCATTGCATCTGCAATCACAACGCTGACTTCCCGGATCGCCACTCAGCCATTGGACTCTTGATAGTCGTCTCCCCACACTGCTGCTGGGGGGACTTTTTAACCTAGGCCTGTGTATGGCCTTCAATTGAAGCTGCTTCCGCTCCGCCACTCTGCCATTGGACTCTTGATAGTCGTCTCCCCACACTGCTGCTGGGGGGACTTTTTAACATAGGCCTCTGTATGGCCTTCAATTTAAGCTGCTTACGCTTCGCCACTCTGCCATGGGCCCCTGTACCGCCTCCTCTTGCTGCTGCCAGGTCCAGAGTGTGTCATGGGTCCCTGTACGGCCTCCCATTGCTGCTGACTTCATCGCCAGACTCTGCCATGTGCCACTTTCAGGTCTCCTTACACTGTTGGTGGGTTCCATTTTGTGATAGGGTGCTGTATGGCCTTTCATTGCTGCTGCTCCACCGCCACCCTGCGCCATGTGCCTCTGTCGTCGTCTGCTCACGCTGCTGACGGCTTCCGCTTTTTAACCTAGGCCTGTGTATGGCTTCCGAATACTGCTGCCTCCACCGCCACCCTGCGCCATGTGCCTCTGTCGTCTGCTCACGCTGCTGCCAGGTCCATACTGATTCATGGCCCCCTGTACCGGCTCCTCATGAACGTGGTTCAGCGGGTTTGCATCACTTAACGGCAAATCGTTGACAAACGCTGGGACGTTCAGTGTTGTGCGCATTAAGCCAGACACCAAAGGGCAGCACAGACCTGTTATTACTCGCTCAAGCATGGCTGAACAAAACCAGTCTCTACCACAAATTGGACCCAGACCTGCCCAGGGTCTCGTAAGTAGATTGCACGGAGGAGTAGAGTTCGTTATTGGAATTAACTGTGAGGGACTTTTAAACCTAGGCCTGTGTATGGCCTTCAATTGAAGCTGCTTCTTCTGCTCCGCCACTCTGCCATTGGGCTCTTGATAGTCGTCTCCCCACGCTGCTGCTGGGGGGACTTTTTAACATAGGCCTCTGTATGGCCTTCAATTTTAGCTGCTTATGCTCCGCCACTCTGCCATGGGCCCCTGTACCGCCTCCTCATGCTGCTGCCAGGCCCGTAATCTGCCATGGGCCCCCGTACTACCGACTCCTCATGCTGCTGCCAGGCCCGTAATCTGTCATGGGCCCCTGTACCGCCTCCTCATGCTGCTGCCAGGTCCAGAGTGTGTCATGGGTCCCTGTACGGCCTCCCATTGCTGCTGTCTCCATCGCCACACTCTGCCATGTGCCACTTTCAGGTCTCCTCACACTGCTGGTGGGTTCCATTTTGTCATAGGGTGCTGTATGGCCTCCCATTGCTGCTGCCTCCACCGCCACACTGTGGCTCCACACTCTGGTTTTGGCCCCGTGACTGCCCAAATGAGTGAAGTGTGCGGTGATTCTAAGTTCGTTACTTGAAATTATCGACGGTACTCATCTGCATGTCATACTGACTGACAGTATTATTTTCTCTTCCCCAGCAGACTCCAAGGGCATTTAAATTAAAGGTACAGTATTCTGCACTAATATAAAGGCTCTCTGAAGCCTAGAAACACCCTTTTTATAAGTTAAATTCGCAGCGAATATATTCGGCTCGAAGCGAATTTATTCGGCGAATTCGGCGAATCAGCCGAACCGAATTTTTGAATAATTCGCTCATCTCTAATTCTGGTACAAAGCATTGCAAAGTTATTTACAAATGAAATAAAGTGGGTTTTCTGTCAATTTTGCGTTTTTGTTTTTTTTGTTTTTGTTTTAAATGTGATGTGTATAATGTTAAAGGTGTAAAAATGTTAACAAAAACAAAGTTTAAATATTAATTAGAAACTAGCAACAAAAAAATAAGCAGGAAAAGAGTTCAATGGAGAAGAATAAGGTGTTAGTGCTGATTAGAGTAAACTAAAGGGTGATAAGGTGTTAAACAGAGGAGCATTTAAAGCGGAGTTCCACTCACCCTGTCAAAAAATAAGTCAGCAGCTACAAAAACTGTAGCTGCTGACTTTTAAAAAAACACCCACTTACCTGTCCCTCAGTCCTGCGGAGTGTCGCCTGCAGCCCGTTTCACCGGCCGTCCTGTATTCCAGGAGGCCGGCATCTTCATTGTGGGCACCCGTCTGTGATAGCTTGCGGCTTCACAGCCGGGTACCCACTGAATGGTCCTGTAGTCTTCTGGGACCTGTCACGTGTCCCAAAAGACTACAAGGAGGGAGGCATAATCCTGTCTCCGCGCCTAGGCGATCGGACCGGAAGTGCGAGCGGGTACCTCTCAAATTTGGGTAACTGCCCCTGACCCCCAAATGTGCCAATACTTAATGGGGAGCAGTCCTTTTGGGTGGAGCTCCGCTTTAACCACTTGCCCTCTGGAATATTTACATCCCTTCATGACCAGACTGTTTTTTGCGATATGGCGCTGCCACTTTAACTGACAATTGTACATGCAATGCTGTACATAAATGAAATTTTGTCATTTTTTTCCCCCCAAAAAATAGAGCTTTATTTTGGAGGTATTTGATCACCATTTTTTGTTTGCAAGATAAAAAAAAAAAAATAGACCATTTTGAAAAAAAAAAACATTTTTTTTTTACTTTTTGCTATAAAACATCCAATAAAAAGAAAATTTAGCCCAAAAGTATTCTACTACATGTTTTTGATTAAAAAAAAAAAACTCAATAGGTGTTTATTGATTGGCTTATATTTATAATCGGCGAGTACTTGACCGAAAGTATCGGTACTTGCTTATTAAAAATGTAAATTGCATTAAAGAATGCAAATGGCACTGCAAAGATCAGCATGCAATTCCTGTCCAAATCGTATGCAGTTTCCCCACTGTTCCTGTGTGAACTCATAGCCAAAGTTTACACAGGAGCGGTGCGGGAAACCTCTCTGCAGGTATCCCATGCTGAGTGTCCATGGCAGGAGAGGAGAGAAAGTGGTGGGGATTTCACATGGACTGTTTTGACCAATCAGATACCATCTATGCCGGACTGTCAGTGCTGCAAGGAGGAAAGAAAGCAGCGGGAATTTCAAATCCCCGCTGCTTTCTCATCTCTCCTACCACTGACACAAAGCATGGGATGCCTGCAGGGCAGTTTCCCTCACTGCTCCTTTGTGAACTCTGGCTATGCAAGCCTGGGTTCACACAGGAGAGGTGGGGAAACTCATGCGACTAGGACAGGAATCACATTCCTCCTTCAAATCACATTAATTTTTGCTGTGCAATATGCATCCATTAACGGAAATCACACTAAAAAGTATCTGTTAAGGTATCGGGAGTCTTCGTACGAAATACTCATGAAAATACTCCGTATAGGTACCGATATTGTTGCATCCCTAGTTTTACATGTTATAGCGTCTACAAATGGCGGTATAGTTGGTCTGGCTGAAAAAAGACAAAAGTCCATACAGTTCAACTAAAAAAAAAAAAAAAAATGTTATCTTACACCCACAGTTGATCCAGATGAACACAAAAAAACCAGCAAAGCATGATCCAATTTTCTCCTGCAGGGGAACAAATTCCTTCCTGATCCCCCGAGAGACAATCAGATATTCCCTGGATCAACTTTACCTATAAATGTTATATCCAGTTATATTTTGTGTATCTAGGAAACAATCCAGGACTTTTTTAAAGCAATCCACTGAGCTGGCCAGAACCAACTCTTGAGGGAGTCTATTCCACATTTTCACAGCTCTCACTGTGAAGAAACCTTTCCGTGTTTGGAGATTTAATTTCTTTTCCTCCAGACATAAAGAGTGCCCCCTTGTCCTCTGTGATGACCTCAGGGTGAATAGCTCTACACCGAGTTCACTATATGAACCACTGATGTTTTTATACATGGAGATCATATCCCCCCTTATGTATTATACATGGAGATCATATCCCCCCCCTTATGTAGATACATGGAGATCATATCCCCCCCTTATGTATTATACATGGAGATCATATCCCCCTTATGTATTATACATGGAGATCCCCCCCTTATGTATTATACATGGAGATCATATCCCCCCTTATGTATTATACATGGTGATCATATCCCCCCCCTTATGTATTATACATGGTGATCATATCCCCCCTTATGTATTATACATGGAGATCATATCCCCCCTTATGTATTATACATGGAGATCATATCCCCCTTATGTATTATACATGGAGATCGTATCCCCCCTTATGTATTATACATGGAGATCATATCCCCCCTTATGTATTATACATGGAGATCATATCCCCCCTTATGTATTATACATGGAGATCATATCCCCCTTTATACATGGAGATCATATACCCCTTATGTAGATCATATCCCCCCTTATGTATTATACATATCATGGAGATCCCCCCTTATGTATTATACATGGAGATCATATCCCCCTTATGTATTATACATGGTGAGATCATATCCCCCCTTATGTATTTATACATGTTGATCATATCCCCCCTTAATCTCCTCTTCTCAAGAGAGAATAAATTAATTTCCTCTAATCTTTCCTCATAGCTGAGCTCCTCCATGCCTCATCAGTTTGGTTGCCCTTCTCTGTACTTTCTCCAGTTCCCCAATGTTCTTTTTGTGAATTGGTGCCCAAAACTGAACTGTATATTCCAGGTGAGGTCTCTCAAATAATCCAAATATGTGTAAATTAATAAATTACTTGGTTTATGTGAAAGTTATAGCATTGAGTTCACACAAGAGCAGTGGGGAAACTGCAATCAATTTGGACAGGGACCACATTCCATTTCAAATCTCATGCTATACTTTGCGGTGCAATTCGAGTCCATACATTTTTGAATGGATGTAAATCGCACCGCAAAGTATTGGTACTCTGTATTTGCAAGTACTTCACCAAATGTATTGGTACTTCTACTCGCCAATCAAAAAGGGTATCTGTGCAACCCTGTTAAGTACTACCCAGGGTGGATTTGATTTAAATCACTAGTCAGTAAGGCTTGATGTAAATCCTAGTTTTCTACATAAAGACTAATTCTTGCTGGTATAACTTTAATATGCAAGTAGATGAAGATTTTTAGAATAACAACTTTTCATATTAGTTTTTTTATCCCCAGTTTAATAGGTTAATCATTCATATTTGGACAACTTTTCTGTTGTACTTAGGAAGGAGAAAAATAATCATTACCTTAATAATAACAATTTAAATAGATTTATTCAACTGAAACAATAACATTCCAGCATATGTGATTTGCTTAAACAAACATCCATGTTTAACTAATTTGGCTAAACAAAATATATATATTTTCAGAAACTTAGACTGTCAGCCCCTTCCTCCTCACACTTCGTTTCACTTTCTTCTTGTGCAGATCTATTCCACTCCAAACAATCAGAAAAATATTGTTTCTATTCTATTCACTGAACTTCTTGAAACTCAGCACTGAAGGGGTTGATTCTGTATTCATAGGTTTGTAGAAGTTAGGATGAAGGTCTTTTTCTTAACTCTGTTCATGTTATAACATTTTTGCTGTGA